TCAACTTGATTCTAAAATACGGAAATCAAAACATTTCTAACCGATTGTTGAGTTCGTGGTAGTTTAGAATCACTAGTCCCGAACTCTACCCAATCTCTGGCTTATTGTTTTACTTAAGATATGAAGTAATGTGTCCAAGGTTGCTCAATTGTCACTACTCAATGCTCATAGTCAACTAGGTTGTGCATAAACATTTTCAAATTATGTTTTGAATGATGAAATCGTTGTCGTTTTTGGTCAAACGTGTGAGCAAACGTGGCACCCCTTCTTATCGGAAGGTTTTTAATACCCAAGTACGCATGTAAAATATTAGATACACGTTCCTATGATATGTTTGTCATCTCTGCTATCTAATGCAATTTAATTTTTGGATCATCCAACACAATATTGTGGATTTTTTCCATGCTCTTTTTAGTTGCGACCTCTTTTGGACGACCCGGAAGCTCTTCATCAAAAACACTCATACGATTACGTTTAAATTCAGATTTCTAATATTTTATTATTGTTAACGATGGTGCAAAGGTGCCGTAAAACGAATCCATTTCCAAATGGAGGAATTTTCTTTCAAATAGATGAATTTTATTACTGAACGATATTCTATTTTTTCGTTTTATAAAAAATAATGTAATGTGTCTTCCTTAATTAGGTTTCCAGTAGGATTTTTTAAATTGGAATTGATCATTTATTATCTTTTAGAAACAGACGATTTGAAGTGGACTAGACGATATATTAATATTTAAGACTTAATTCATACATTCTAGAAAGTGGTTTTAAAAATGATTTGACAGTTTTATTGGCTGTTTAATGCTGGATTTTGTTGACTATATATATGTGGTATTTTATGGGATAAAATGAGGTCTGTCTGACCTCTTACTCTCACATCTCACATCTTATTTCTCACATTTTTGAACCCAGAAAATCACTCGTGAGTAAGTAATTTGTGGTACTAAAATATATTTAAATTTTTAATAAACTTTAAAATCGTTTTTGTATATATACAGACATATAAACGAATATGTGTTCAGCAATTCACTACCAAGTATCTAAAACTAACTTGAGTTATCTAAGTTGAATGCCTATCTTTTTGTCAGGTCAATAGAAAAAGAATCCTTAAAATTTGTTAAATTTAATCTCAAATGATATACAAATATTTTATAAGAATGATTTTGAATTTAATTTTAAAGTTTGTAGAAATTAATGAACTGAAACTAAGTCATTGTTTATTATTTCAATATTTGTTGTTGTTGTTGTTGCTGTTGTTGTTGTTGCATTGTCACTGAAAACTATTTACTTTATTTATTGTTTTTGCTACTTAAGCTCAACACATCATTTGCATGCTCTGCCATTAAACCACAAATTTTCTATAGAAATTCAACTTTTTGTGCTGTGCCTGCAAATGATAATTCTAGACTTGAGCACTTTCTTCGGATGCACATTTTATCTGAGTTGCCAATGCCATTGCCGTTGCCGTTG